AATTATCGGTGAGAAAATTAAATTTTAAATTTAATTATGTCTCCTGCATAAAATGTTACTTAATATCTCAGCCTTAAATTACAGTATAAAATGTAAATTGCGCATGATTCTCTTTTCTTCTTTTATGTATTTCGAAAAGGATTGTTTAACTAAAGAACTCTTAATGGTTAAATTTTAGATTACAAGATTTTTCAGATTACAGCAATTTAGGTCATATGTCACTGTTTGGTTAAAAGACTGTAAAAAACTGATCCAAGTGCCCGATATAAAGAAAGTTTAAATTACAGTTAGCTAAATGTTTTCTTATTTTATTAAAGACTCTTTCCTTTTCTTTTTCTTTAATTTAAAAAAAAATTCTGCGGTATGTAAAACTAATCTCGAAAAATATTTGAAAAATTATCAAATTGCTTCCATGATGAGGCAAAGGACAAAAGTTGTTGAATTTATAGATCACATTAAAATCTTTTTTTCGGAAATCTGCGCGTGTAAACTTATTAACGTAATCTATTTTTTGTGGTGATTTTATCCGGTGTCTTGAAAGTCCAACTAACGATATCTGTAACTTCTAAAATTGTAATAATGATATCGATTGCATCCAGATTTTTAATTAATTCGTATACCGGATAATTTTAATTTCAGAAGATTTGTTTATCAATTAGACAATCAGAAAATATTTTTCTTATTCATACTTTTATGCACTTATATAAAAATTTTATTTTGTAAACTTTTGCTAAATTATTTTTCAAAATCGAAACTAGTACAGTCCGAGACTGTTTCGTTTTGCCATTATGTTTTTACATTTGGCATGTATGTCTTACATACAAAATATATGTAAACCTTTTCCCATGGTTACGCACATAAATTTTCAAATGTAATTTTCTAAGTGTTAACTTTGACATCAGAAACAGATGGGTAAAAACCTGAGTTTCAGATTAACATTCGTAATAACTCTAAAATTCGAAATGCCCTAGATCGAAATAAATTTTTTTGCGCCTCTCAACCTAAAGATTTTGTCGTACCTTTCATTAATTGAAGTTAATTTAAAGCACAGAGCTTTCACAATTGGTCTTCGTGGCTAGTTTGTCATATTATAAAAAAACATTTCCGCTGAATATCGTTGGCACAATAAGAAAGTACAATTTCTTTCTACAAATCCATATGAAATTTTTATTTATTTTTTGCTATAATTTGACGCATTCATAAAAATATCACATCAGAGAATCGACTTTCTTTAACCATTTCTTAAACTGGTATCAAAACGACTAAACGTTCAAGAACTACTTGTACTTGTATTGCCTATAGGGGCAATGATTCTGAAATGCCCACCTTATCATCGACCAGTCACTGAACTGTTCAGCCCTGGGAAGAACATCTATGAATAAAACATAATATATACAACCTCAGGTCATAAGCATATGTATAAATATGCAGCATTGTCATTTTCTTTTCGATTAATAAAATTCTAAGCCTTAAAGTCATTTCTAAGCCTACAAGTTGTACAAAGTTAAACACGTGCTTAAAGCAGATCAATGACTCTTAAGTTACTACATGATATTCTTCTGATAAAGGAAACTGATTATGATATGTATATTAATAAGATACATATATTATCCTTGAGAGAGTAATACTGGAAGGTAGAACTTGATGTGGGTTAATAGGTTAATATTAATAAGTCAATGTCTGTTAATCGTGCAGGTGTGTAACTCTCGATTATCAACTGCGATGTACTAAAATATAGCTTGTCTTTAGTGCATCCAAATGCAATTAATAATAAAGCTGAATAGCTGAAGTAAGTAAATAAAAATACAGCCTGAGAGTGCTTTTTAATGTAAGGGCGTTGTTATACAAAGTCAGTAAGGCGTTGTCCATGAGTTGTAATCCTTATTCTCACGATACAATTTTTGAAATCGCTGTTGCGAAACATGATTATACTACTTTTTATTAAAATTATTATTGAAATTATGTTTTTCCCCATAGGAATAATGGCTGTTGCAACCCGAATGTTTTCAATTTGTAGGAAAATACTTGTAGCTACAATGTATGGTACAACATAAAAATACATATGTTGTTATTATTTTTTTTAACTTATCTTCTCTTAGAGAAATGCGTTTTGCTTCTATTTTTCTAAACCATGAAAGAACTATTAAGTTATTTGGAGGATATTTAGCTGTTTACTCTGTTTTTTAATTTGACTATTTCTCTTTTCCCTCCTAAAAATAGCAACTGCTTGTAATAAATCTGGCAAATCTGTCTAAACTGCGTCATTTCAACATTAATGTTTCTCAAGGGATTCTTATTTAACACTAATGGCGCAGATACTTACTAATGCTTCAGCCAATAATAATTTTAGGTTTGCGAGCCAGACGTCATAATTTACTGTTTGAGATAAAGCTGGGCTAAGACTAAATCCCTCTAAGCTATCTTCAACAAGTCACATTTCTTTTCTCGGTTTCTCTCGCTTCCGAGTATGCTCTCGACTGATAAACTTTCTTCAGATATTAAAATATTGTTACGAATTTTGTACTTAGATAATTTTAATAGAATTATTAGTAAATTGTTGTATTTTTCTGTGTAATGTAGCGCGAGACAAATTATTAAGAGAAAGATATGCCGGAAAAGTAAGAATACAGGGGCATGTGCATTCAACATTGAGTAAATGATTATCTCGGTAATTTGTATTGAAATTGAATAAAGGTAATTAATCACTTTGTTATCTGCAATCGTTATTCCTTCCTCGTATTGCTTTCCAGGAATTTAGAGAAGCAGAAAGTACTAGAAATATCTCGTGGCTGGTTGAAAACTGGCCGAAGAGAAAGTATCTGCTCTCAGTTGTTTATTTAGCTGCTGTTGTTATGGTTGCAAGTTTAGAGTGAGATTGGATTAGCTTTCTCTTTAGATACGATTTTCATCGCGTTGTGTTTTACTTTCTCGGTAGTTTGTAGGGTAACTACTGAATATACTGTGCGATACTGTAAACACTTGTACGAATATTTCTGCTGAAAATTCCCGAGTTATGAAATATTTTTGATAAAAATGAATTTTTATTGACCTATTATCGGACTTGTGCAATGTATTAGGAACCCGTACTCACGCAAGACTAATAAAAACGTGAACGTATTCAAGAACGATCGGGCTTAGCTGCAAATACAACCATGATTACAAATACTTCTTTATGCAATCGTCTGCCATCCTCAAGAACTATACTAGCAACATTTAAATTATATACATATATGTATAAACATTATATATAAATACATATAAATTATGTACATATATGTATATTTTATACACATACTTTTTATTCATTAGATAATTGGAATGAAAATTAATATTTCAATATAGATTGAAAGAACAGTCCCACTTAGTCCCCACTGAGTAACTGAAATTTTATGTGTATTGGAATTTTGTTAGATGAAGAAGGAAAAATAGTTGAAACATTCGTTTCTATAAGATAACTAGAGCTTCGTTACTGTGGAATATGGTACAAAAGTAGCAAGTATTCCCAAGTGACATTCAGATTGAGTACATTAGCATTTGTGCTCCATTGCATTCTTGTAAAGCTGTAGCAACACATTTTACTATCTGCCTATTGAAGTGTTTTTCATCCCCAGGTTAGGTTAACTTATTTGAATATGGCAAAGCATACGAAAGCTATCTGTCTGAGCAAAAGAATGCCTTTATGGAGTAATTTCTACCGGAAATTGGCTCGTATTTATTTTATGTATGGAAAAACCATGAAATCTACTATGCAGCCAACCCGCTTGCCCGGGATCTAATCCAGATCGAACTTCTAGTATTCAAAGTCCACTCGATCACTGATGAGGCATATCCCCAGGTTTGATGCTCAGTTTTGATTTCTAAACAGCTAGACTCAGAAATGTAAAATCATTTGACGTTCGCCCACTGGAGCCAGTATTTAAAAACTTCAACATTCTAAACTTGCAAGACTTTTAAACAAGATTTATCTTTTGATAAAACACTTTTAAGCGAAGAGCTCGATCAATTAATGTTAGAATCATAGTGTCAGAACATACCAGATTTTTTCAGGAACAACGTAGTATTGTAAATATTCTGGGAATGCAATTTTTAATGGACAGATTATTTAGGTTGTGTGAATACGGCAAAGCCACTAGGGCTAGCTGCCTAAGAGAAGAAATGCTTTTGTAGAAGGCTTTCTAAGGGAAACTTGCTCGTATTCACTGTACGGGCCAGGAAAACCACGAAAACGTTGCCTGGGATTGAACCCAAACCAAGTGAAACTAACAGTATTCAGCCAATTAGCTACTGGTGCGGCTGCACTTTTCTTATACATGTAATTTTCATCTTTTGATACAGTCAATGTAGTTAACTCACAGCACCATCTAACGGTTAAGGTTTCATTTTTTAGCTTTTCTTTTCTTTTTCTAATATTATAATTTTAGTGAAAAATTTCAATTCATTCTAACTGTTAGTCCATTCCCAAACCATTTTGAGATGAAAAGATTATCATAATCAGCTCGTGTATAGTACTGATGTACCCATGACTGGTGTGAATTCTTTATTTTAAACTTACGTATAGAATGTTATTCAATTTGATTTAAAGTAAATAACTACTTCGAAAAAGCAAAGCAGAATTTCAGTCTATTATAATATATTTGTATTATGGTTTTCTTATTAAATGAATATATAATGAATTGTTTAATGCATTCACTGTCAGAATATGTATACAAAAATCCACCAGAAGCCGGCTAACTTAAAAACAAAGAGTTGAAATATTCTTCGTGCGTGATCTGCAGAGAAAAGAAAGTGTTGAGCTTTCTCTTTTAATTAAATTAAACTTCTATTCGATATAAAACAATATGCAATTAAAACAGCCCAATATTTTCTGTTTTATGTAATCTCATATATGCTACATGTGGTTTTCTTAAGCGTACGATTTCGCATTTCTTATTGCTGAGTACTTGAAGCAAGATTTTTTTTCTGTTTTCTTGTTATTAAGAACACTATTTTTTCTTCCACAGGTGGTATTTTGTACAGCATTTATAACTTGCTTCAAAGGAACCTATGCAATTAGTTTAAATCCTTTCAACGCTTTCTCAGATTTGAACTATGAACCAAATGCAGACTTCAGCGTCAACCAAGGTATGTACATTCCCAACATGCCAGTCGCTTCTATTTATCCACTCATGAACGAAGAAAGTTACAATGGCGTCATCGGACTTCCATCACTCAAGTCTCCCTCGATCCCTTTCATAAACCCCTTATCATCAGCGTTACAGCAAGTTCCCGGTGGCAGAACCAACAAAATGGTCTTAATAACTAAACCAAAAAGTTCAAGGAATGGCCCACGCTATCCTCCTGATCATCCGCAGCAACAAATCGGTGGACCTCCGAAGTCTCGAGGAGTAACACTGGATATAAGAGGAGGTGGATATAAACTGGAGCATCATCAGAACGGGAAACCTTACAAACCTCCCAGCACAGAAAGCTCCTTTCGAAGTACGCAAACGCAAAATAGTGGACGAAATGTTGGAGGAGCACCTAATAGACCAAACAATGGCCCAAATAGAAATAGGCTACCTAATCAGCGTCCAAGGGGTCCCAATATGAAGAATCCACACTACAATATGAATTTTGAAACTTCATTACCTTCTATGCCACCCAACGTAGAGTTTGTGAATCCTGAAAATGTTTTGCCACTTCATCCCAACATTTACAAGCATTTTTTGCAGCAAAACAAACAATTGGGCCTCTATTTCAAAAATTTTAATAATCAGAACCTTTTTTCGGGAAATTCACCAACTAGAGGCAGGTTTGCAAACAGTGGATCTTTCCCAGGTAACACTTTTAACCCCTTAAAAGTTGCAGCTTCAAAATTAGTTAGAAACAGAGGCAACAATATGAATTCTCACATCGGGGCTTTATCTCAGTTTTCCAATTTTCCATCGAGTTTTCAAATTCCTGGAGCACAATTATCCGCTAGTCATTTAACTTCTCAGTTTGGATCATTACAACAACATACTCCAGACAAGCTTATTGTTCAACAGTATGAGGCTGATTTATTCAATCAAGACCCTCACTTCTATGCAGCTTTAGCTCAAACTCCTGAAGGAAGAGCTGTTTTAAGTCAAATGCAACAGCAGCAGCCGATACCTGCGATAAAACCTAACGCTCAGACTAATCCTTCATTTTCAAGTAATGCAGCTAAGCAATCTCATAACAATTTAAAATCTTCTGCCACATCTAATAACGGATTTTCAGGCTATACAAGTGCTACAGGTTCACAAACTGAAAGTTTTCCAGCATCATATGCAACAAACTACGACAATAACCAGGGACCAAAAAATATAGCTACTACCAATAATGCTGCCGCACATCAAAAAACAGCTGATGCCTTAGCGGAATATCAGCAAATGATGCTTTATTATCAACAGCAGCAACAACATCAACAGCAGCAACAACAACTGCAACAACAGCAGCAACTCCATCAACAACAGCTTCAACAACAGCAACAGTTGCAGAAGCAACATCAGTTACAACAACAGTTATCTACTAAGCAGTATTCTTCTTCCGCTGCTCAAGCTGCTGAACTGCCATTCAGAAATCCCTCTCATCAGTCATCATCGTCATCATCATCATCCAGACCAAGTTATTCCACTAACCAGCAAAGTTATCCAGACTCACAAAATGCTCTATATTCGCCATACCAATACGGCCAAGATTCATCTTACCAAGTTGATGTGCATCAAACTTCAGCAGCTCCACAAGCTTTTTCATACCCGAAAAGCACAGTTCCTCCCTATGAAGCAACAGGATATACCAGTTCCTATCAAGCAAGTCAGAAGCAAGTGAACAGCCAAATTCCAAATGCCCCTGCAATTGACCAAACGTCTTTCACCTTGCCACCTTTCTCTCCTGTAGATCCACATACTGCGCCGGAAAACAATAATAATGCACTACATGATTACTACAGTTATCAAACAACTCAAGTACGAGATAAGGTTCCTTCTCATTCCACTGCTCATTATACGCAACACCCTGCTTATGACACCCATTCATCTTCTGCTTTACATGAAATCTCACCATACCAGTCTGAGGATGCAAAGGTTCCTGATTACTCCTCATCGATTCAGTCAAAAACGCATAACACAGGACTGCCTTCGGGATACCTGACGCCTGAGCAGCTCTACGCTCCTCAAAAAACAGGCTTGCAAAGCGAAGCAAAATTTGGTTATCCATCAGCCTATGCTTCTACAAATCATCATAGACAAGTTACTGCCGTACCTCAAGAATCTACAGCATCAGAAGCCACAGAATCTACGCAAGATGAAAAACGTGAAGGTAAGTGAAGTATAATTAGTATACGTTTTTATGTTATTTTTTACATATTAGATGCAGAAAAGCACGATTTGTACGTTTTTCAAAGAACCACTTAAAAACGATGTGTAAATGAGAAAGATATATAATCGAAATTTCAGTTTAAGAATGTAATATGCGTAAAATTTAAATGTTACTGCAGTACTATTACAACGGTACAACTATTACTTGGATTTGATTCTATCTCATCTTACATTTGTTTTCTTTAAAATACTAATCGTTTTTTAAAAAAATTCATTTTTTAAATCGTAAAAGTTTAACAGTATAATATTTAATATAAATATGATGATGAGCATTAATTAATTGAAACATTCATTGATAATGACCATATTAAAAAATGCTAGTTATTATAGTTAATTATAAACGTTATTATAGTTATTATAGTTAGTTATAAATCAGGGAAAACGAGACGTATAACTGAAGTTAGTATAAATGAAATGTTTTACTGTTATCACAAACAGGAATGGACTGGAACAGGGATAAAACTACGTATAAACGACAGTGAGAGGGAGTGCAAACAATGTTTCAACATGTAAAACGATTCTTTTAAATATTTTTGAAATTCTTTTATATTGACAAGACATTAAATATTTTGGAATTATCTTCAAAATTATTTTCGTAAAAAGTATCGTTCGACACTGAATTGTTTGTCAGCACTGACACCCAATTAAAGCGACCTTATGTAACTTCAGGAAAAGAGTTTTCTTGTAATTCAGAAGTCCGACAGAACTTAATGTAATTCAATATTTAATGTTTTTATTTTGGATTCTGTAACAGAATTAATTTACAACGTATTTTTTGCGGAAATCCTTACATAAAGATTATTTATATGCAATGCAAATTTGACGATTGTGATATAAATTAAAATATAATAGGAAAAATTTCGAAATTTTCGGCTTTATTTGACGTTTATTGAGAAGGTCTTAGAAGGTCTCCTAAAATTTGCGAAAACGGTCCATGAAATTCGTGAGGCAGCAAAGTTATTGCCCTAATTATAAGAAATGCGATGTTATTTATTTATGCATGAAAATCATGTTTCTTTTTTGGTAGTTTTTAAGAAGTAAAATTAATCACGTTGCATACTTATTTATGTGAAGATATGCTGTAATGGTAGCCAGTTGTGTGACTATGAACGCAAACACGCATAGACGATCTATTTACCAAAAAGAGTAGGTAGATTATGTTCATAACGCAGGGTCTCATTTTACGATTTTATTTACGGGTTTACTGTCATGCAACTTAATAATAGGAAAAGTTTATTTGATAAAAAATTATATTAAAGATCAGCATATTTGTATAACTTTATGGTTTAAATCAGTAAACACGAGTTCTTGAAATTACTCAAATGTGCATTTCAACTGACAGCTCTATCGGGCAAAGCTAAATAAGTGCTTTGGCAGAACGCCAACGATCGTCTCGAAGTCCGCTGTCGGTGAGAAATTACTAAGAGAACTACAATTACTAAATTATTGCTATTAATATTGGAGATTATCACCCTCGAAGCCATATGTAAAGTATGATTAAGTCAAGAAGTGCTTTATGATAATATAAATCGTTAAACTATTTTGATTAGAAACATTAACTTACAAGAAATAAATTGCTTTTTTCCCCTTGCTTTTTTTCGTTTCTGTTTGAAAAAAAAGAAGTCTTCCAACAAAATAAAAATAAAAGTATTTAATTACTTATCACTGACATTCTTTGTTGTGCTAACATCAAAATCGGTCCGACAAAGAGCGAAACAAAATTTACTATACAAATTCGGTGTCAATACTTTTTAAAGACTTTAGTACTGCTTTCAAGTACTATTTTACACTAGAAAGATTCATGTATGATGGATAATAGAAAAACGTGCGATAATGTTCTTGATTTAAAAGATAAATAAATAATGGATCAATGGCTGATGATTATATGCTGCATATTAGCTATGATAAAAATTCACATTTATATAGCTAAATACTTAAGTTCACTTATTACATTATGTAATCTCCTACTTCCTATTTCGATTACATACGCTTCATCAAACGGTCATCCCAAAGAACCAATAACTAACTCTCTTTTCTTATCTCTGCACAAAAACATAGTGCAACCAACACTTGGCACGTTCGTACAGCTGTCTGATTATATCGCAGAACTCATGTTTTGGAATATCTGGTTATCATTTTCTGAATTTTTTCAGTACTACTAAAATAATGATTTCTAAGACGAATCTTCAATTTAGGGAAGAGGAAATAGTATGCGAGTGTCAAATGAGGTAAATAAAGGAAGTGCTTGAAAATTGTAAAATTTAGTTATATCAGAAATCGCAGCAATATGTGCGCATTGTCGTACAGCAAAACCTATTTATTCGATTCAGATTTTCAGGCCTAACACCATGAATTCTCTTCAGAAGTCTGTCCTTTACGCCTTTACAAAATGTGGAGTTTATCTTCGGTTCTTCAAGAAAATCTTGTTTATTCTTTTTTAATCAAAAGAATTTGGAATAGCTTCAACTCGAATTTCAAAATGGTTTCAACTCGAGATTTCTGAAAGCAAAATTTCTGTGGCCATGGTGAAATTTCTTCACTTAAGGAGCTAATTGTCATTTTTTTTTCGCGAATTTTTCTCGAACCACTAAGTTCCTTCTCAGTCACAAAAAAAAAAAAAAAAAAAAAATTAACTTCTGTCATTTGGGATCACAATCATTTGCACAACTTTCGAATCCATGACAGTTTGACAATAGATGTTCTTTAGATCCAAACAAACCATTAAATGCATATGAAATTCTCCGCGACAGCGGATTGTATTTCAAGAAAAGCAAGTTGAGATTTTATAGTGTTAAATGCTCTCAATTATTTCTTTAGCAGATTTGCTGGAATTTATTAAAAAGCATCATTAGCCGTAAAACGTTGCAGATGCGCAGTGTAAATGCATAAAAGATAAATTAGTTGAAGTGTATAGCTATTTAGAAATGTAAATCTGTAAAGATGTGTTACTTGTGCTGTTTCCTACTACTTAACCTCCCTTTAAAGATTACTAGGTGGTGTGCGGTAAACAAGATCCCAATCGACCACGTTTAATGCTGTGACTAACTGATGTTCACCAGTGTAATTTCAGGAACATGTATGGAGCTTTCTTCCACGAATTATTTTGGAAACTTTAGCCATTCCCATACTCGAAACATCGAGAATTGTGTATTGCCGAACACTGTTTCACACATTTTACTCTAAGAGCACAAGAAAGGAAAATGCCTTTATTCTCCATATTCTTCCTAAATAGAACAGACATTCATTCTAGCAGCTTTAATTTGATGGTAATTTATCGTTCACCAACTTCAGTTGGGATTTGAGTGTAAGGATTTCTTTAATAATTTAAACTAAAGGCCGGCAGTGCCCGAAATCTGCTTTCTTGAGCGTGAGCTTAGGTGTGCGTGAGCGTATGCCCTGAACAAGTGGTCAGCTTGTCGCATGTCTTTAATAATTTATTCGCTGGAAAATCGATCATACACTCACTCATGCTCGAACTTCAAATTTGTAGTATCTGCTACACCATAACAGCACGAGAGGAACTCCTTGAGAAGCATATTTTGATCAACACACCATTTCTTATGTTAAAATCATTCCTTTATTTCATTTGAATAATCAGCTGATAATGACAATTTCATTACCACCTTACTATCAAATGAAGTGAATGTTAATACTTAATACTGAGCGAGAGTATAAATTTGAGAGAAAATATTGACTGTCTCAGCATACTATGGGGAAACTCCTCTGTTACTGTCAGAGCTCTGTTAGCGCTGTTATCACGAGCTAGTGAGCACCTTCGATAGAAATTAAATAGCTGTGAAATAGTAAACCTTCTATGCCATAAAGATAAACCTTGACTTGTAAATGAAATGAATCGTTGTTATCTCTCTCGACCGCTGGAAGCGGAAGTCAATTTTATTAATTGTTTAGTTTCTGTAAAGTCACGCTGAAGTTCAAATAAATCCTAGCTTTGGTTTAAAATTTATTGCTTCAGGTTATAGAGTCACTAGGTTATTTTGAAGTAACAGATGTGAAAAATGTGTAATGCCCTCACTGGGACTCGAACTCGGACCTCTCGAGTATGTTACCGTTACACCACGAAGGCATGCTGGAAGGAGGAAGAAAATGCCTTATATACTCCCCTTTTTAAAGGGCGAATGGGGATTAGGAGACTCAATCGCCAAATCCTAGGAGTGGACGATAATTGTCACCACCACCATTTGGCGAGTGAGTCCCCTCATCCCCGATTGCCCTTTAAAAGGGGGTATATAAAGTATTTTTCCTTCCTTCCAGTATGCCTTCATGGTGTAACGGTATCACACTCGTTGCGCATTCGAGACGTCCGGATTCAAGTCCCAGGGAAAAGTATTGCTGTTTTTTCCCGCCTCTTGCTTCAAAATAACCTAATGACTGTACAAGGTATTGAAAAGCCAAGACGGGGGTGGGGATAACTCATCCAGCAATCTAAGAAAGCCAGATTAATTATTTGGATTAAGTCAAACTCAGTTTAATTTTGTAACATTGATTCCTCACAACCTCATAACGAACAAATTATAGGTTATCTACAATTTTAACATTCACTTGAGGAGTAGATATCATTTTAAATGATTGAATTCTCGGATTTGTATCCTTTACTATAGGCAGCGAAAGGGCAGCTCTTCACCTACCAGAGGATTTGTCTATATACGTGGCCAAACAAACGGAGAATCCTTACGTATACGAATACACAGAAGCATATGATCCTTTTTTCTTTCCCGAGATAGATATTTCTGAAAACCAGGCAGTGAAGCAATCAGAAGAAAGCAGCAGTATCGCTGAAGATGAATCAGACGAAACGTATCACGCAAGAATCAAAGATTTACAAAAGGTGAGTTGTAGCTGGAGTTGAATTAATATTGTCGCAATTAATAATACATTTATTGTCCAGTTTTATGTACTTGCAATTCAGAAAAGAACTCGAAAGAAACCAGCATTCGTGGTTTAAATTCCTGCCTGATATGCTATTGTTTTGAAGCTCTTAGTTAATGTAACCAAATGTTTGTACTTTTTGTATTTTTAATGCTTTTCGTTTTAAACACTTTTCTTGTTGTCACTTTCGAAGTTTGGATATTTTAACCCTTTTGCTCTTTTCCCTACTGTTTTCTGCTTCTTGTTGTTTACTACCGTTTTATGTTTTGTCCGTTTGTTTTATATATTGTCAGAAAATAACGAGTTCTGCAAGCTAGCCTGAAGTTTAAGAAAGTTTCAAACCATCTCCTCTTTTTACTAATATGCAGATTTCAAAAAATCATTCCAAATTTATACAGGCAAAATTTTTTGGTCATGAAAAAAGAATGATGTATATCTGAATGCCCTCCAAATGTGTTTAATTAAAATTTTACATTTTCTCTTTTCTTTTCCAATTTAACCTTTTAGAATGTTTTTCTCAAACTAATAACTTAAGTCAGATGTTCGTGAGAGATTCATTTCTATCAAGCCGTTTTACAAAGTCCACAATGATCTGTAGGGTTTTACTTTATTTTTCTAATAGTTATTTTTAATTTTGGAAGAAGACTTTCCTTCTAATTTTCTAGCTACCTGCCAGAATGAATTTTCAATATTTCGAGTTTGGAAATAAGGTAGGAGCGAATATTTAAGCTGAAGTCTGGGTTACTTCAGTGGGAGAACGTGTTCTGCCTTTCAGCCATGTTGTTGCTATTAAGCTTGTTGTTGCTATTAAAGCTTGCTCTTCTACGGCCGTACTTATTACGTGCCTGCTAGTATGCGTCGGTATTCTTAATCAAAAGCCAATTTCAGGGATTGATTCTGTCCAACTTCGGCTGATTAAATTTATCTAGCATTAAATTAGTTTTATATTTTCTATTCAGAGTTAAAGTCTAAGTGAAGGCTTCTTGTACGCCCAAGAGGGGCCATCATAAATATATTTTGAGGTGGAATAAAAAGTAATTTAACCCTTCTCCGGAGTTGTTACGCAAGAAGAACTCAACGAATAGTCGCTACACAGTTCTTCACTGTTCTAGCTTTCAAGGAACTCTATTTTAAATAGGATATTACAAATAGCCATATTCCTCTATTTGTAATCTGTCCTGCTTTACCACTTATTTATTTTGTGTAACTTTCGCTTCCTAAATATGCGAAAAATACTTTTTATAGGCATTTCTTTTAAAATTCTGCCTATTTTTTAAAAGGTATCCGACTACGTTCTATACCCTAATTTTGAAAAAGTGTACAAATAAAATCATTTTTGGTGTTAATAAGCAGAATGCTACTTAAAATGATAGAAACAGTTTATAAACATATTATTAAAATGTAATTTTTACTTTTTTCTCACATTTTGGATCAAAAATGTATTCAAATTTCAGTATCACGAGATTAGTTCCCTCAAAATTATTTATCAGTATTTTACTTATAAAAGAACTCGAAAGAAACCAGCATTCGTGGTTTAAATTCCTGCTTGATATGATTATTTTTTTCACTTACAGTTATTAAAGCATAAGGAATAAAATGGACTAAAATCTAAGGCATAAAACAAAATGTCTATTAAATGTACCTGTTTGAGTACATACATTAGCTATTTTTCGAGAAATTTTCCTCTCTTCATTTGCAAAATTGTCTGCAAAAATCTTAAATATGTATATAAACCTAAACTTTTAGTCCATTTAATTCCCAATATTCTACAGAATATTTGTGGGAAGTATCATAAAATTGCTATAGTAATATTTTAAGTTACGGTGTTTTTCGTATTAGAAATGTTGACAAAAACGTTTCTCAAAAACAAATTTAAAGTTTTGTCTTTAGAAAATATATTAGGAATTGATATATTACATTGCTAAAACTGCCCTGTTTTGTATATTACACCTTCTGCTAACTCTTAGTTTAGAAGAGTTTTCCTTTAAAGAAGCTCTTAATTTTTTTCTTGTGATTTTTGCGGAATGTAAAGAATGCCGTTTTGAAACGACAATCCGAGTTTTATCAATACAGTTATATCCCTTGACAGTATATTGTCCATGTTTCATATTAAGTTTTGCCGATATTTTTAACATACCCAAAAATCCATTATTAAACTGTATTATTCCTATATAGGAACCAAGACACAATGTTGTCAACTCAACAAACACTTGTTTTGGTATGATACTTTTGGTATGATACGTTATTAAAACTCTCATTGTTTTGAGTTTCGAAACACACTGGACAGGATAATGCAGAAAATACAGATTTTAGAATTTCAACATCGAATATTCTATTACCAGCTTCATTACCAGCAACATGATTAGCTTCATTATAATTTTCAGAAAATGTTTTATTGTTTCCTAGTTTCGATTCACTGGCAAAAGCTGTCACAGTATATCTGTTTCCAGCAAATCGCCGTTTTTTAGAACGAAAAGTTCCACGCCGACCCATTACGACGTTTACAATAATAAAGTGAAAATATTTTTATCACAATGTTAAAATAACAAAGCAGAATGAGATAAAAAATAATACTTAATAACAGCAAGCACGCTAAATCAGAGTATAATCAAATCAGAATGTAAAGACAAACGGAAATGTTGCCAAATATAATACTGAAATTTCGAAAGTAATCTTGCTTCCAAGCACATAATAATAATATATATATTTCAAATCATCTTTTGAATATCGCCAACAGTATTCAAATGAAATATTCTTATTTAGAGCTGTCTGTGTCCCTTAAATATCAACTTCCTGCCATTTAAACAGCAACTTTCGGCCCTTTAAACAGCAACTTCCGGTTCATGGTGTAGAACAAAAACAGCCATAACTCTACTTCTAATCACCGGGGAGACAAAAACAAAAATAGTTTTTGGAAGCTAAAAATATAAGCTTTAAATTAAAGTAATAAATTTTTTTTGAACAATTTCTTTAAAATTGACAATCAGAACGTAGTCGGATACCTATGTGAAAATATTTTCATATATGAAACAAAAATACTTCTTTTATAATTAAAAGAAGTTATCTGCATATAAGAGAATTATTGTTGATAATCTACCAGAAATTTAGAAAATTTCCTTCTTTACTCTTTACAAAACTTCAATGTTTATAGGAAATCTGAAACTTACTTCAGACGTCACAAATTTCTTTTGACATTTCTTTTGAATTTTGTAGCTTCTTACGAAGACGCCTAAGAATGGTACTACAGCGACGACAAAATCCATCTCATTCACAACAAAAGCACCAAAGACTACAGCTTCCCCGAAAAAAACTACACCAGAAGAACTAAAAAACCACAGAACTACTCCATCTTACATATTTCAGTACTCTCCCGTTGACAAATCGAGCGCAAAGAGCTCTCCAACATGGCAGGCTTGGAAACCAAATGCCACTCGCTACCATCTTCCAGTAACTGAAACCAAGACTCAAAGCAAGTTAGAAACAACTTCTACAACTGCATCAACGCTGACAGTTACAACAACCCCAAAACCAACTTCTGCTGTTCCTTCTATAATGACTACTAGCAAATCTCACTATCACGACATTGAGACACCTGTCTGTGCAAGGAATAACAACCTGACTTACTGTTTACAAGACCCAGAGTATCCAAAGTAAGTATTTTCTAGCCAGGATTTTAAACAAGGCTGCTCCCCTTTGTACACTGCATACTTTGTTGCACAAATCTGAGTGACAATTTAGTTACAGCAGAAGTAACTGTCTGTAGTACCTGGCTGAGGGATTTGTTCATATAATTAGGCAGAACTTATCTCTTAATTCACATAATGAGGTTTTTAATGGAACCAATTCACAAAATTATGTACAAATTCTTTTAAGGAATTTTTTTAATTACTTTTAAACGCATGCCTCGATCACCAGTCGCTTGATAAGTGGGCTGGTCACCCTCACCGCTGATCGCTAAACGGTTAGAAGTAACCCACCTAAACGGTTAGAATAATAAGTAACCCAAAGATATCCTACTAAGCTAAAGATCTGCTTAGATTCTTTTGAAAAATGTCCAAAAGAGGATCGCAGTTTTATAATTTAAGTCAATGAAAGCCCATCCATCCACTAAATAAAAACTATATTATTTTATACTTTTTCCACCTAACGGTAGATCGGGACATCATACGTAATAAAATAAAGGAGTTCGCACTTACAAAGAGTTTCGGTAGTCCTGACTACTTGTTTTCATAATAAAGGAGATAATCCACTGAATGTTTTTACTTCTGCGGCTTTTGCCATCTTGGGTATTTGTATATGGAGGTCATTTTGATTTCGGTGTCTCATCAAGTACGAAAACGTTTCCTATAAAATCAGTATAAATCTAAATTTGAATTTCAGTATTTTAATATAAATTCAGTTCATATATGTATGTAAGATATATGTCCATATATTTATGTATATAAAATTCATACATAAGATATAAAATATGAAAAAAATTACTAACTTTACTTTAGCAGTAGTCCTTTTAATTCCTAATTTTAATTTCACTACATTCCCTTTCTGGAATCTAAACTGCGTCACTTGAAAACTAATCTGCATTACGTCATTTTTAATCCTGCACTGCGGTTAGTTCTTGTCTAATCACCGTTCAAATCTTAAACAAAGTAATCAACTCTAAATAAGCTTTCCTGAAATGCGCACTTATTTTTTGGCTTGCCTTTCTCTAGCTAAAGTACACTGAAGTGACAAAAGTCATGGGATACCTCCTAATATTTTGTCGGTCCTCCTTTTTCCCGGCGAAGTGCAGCAACTCGACGTGGCATGGACTCAACAAGTCGTTGGAAGTCCCCTGCAGGAATATTGAGCCATGCTGCCTCTATAGACGTCCATAATTGTGAAAGTGTGACGGTGCAGGGTTTTGGGCACGAACTGACCTCTCGATGATGTCCCATAAATGTTCGATGGGATTCATGTCGGGCGATCTAGGTGGCCAGATCATTCGCTGGAATTGTCCAGAATGTTCTTCTAACCAATCGCGAACAATTGTGGCCCGGTGACATGGCGCATTGTCATCCATAAAAATCCCATCGTTGTTTGAGTACGTGAAGTCCATGAATGGCTGTAAGTGATCTCCAAATAACTGAAGGTATCCATTTCCAGTCAATGATCGGTTCAGTTGCACCAGAGGACCGAGTCCATGCCATATAAAAACAGCCCTGACCATTATGGAACCACCACCAGCTTGAACAGTGCCTTGTTGACAACTTGGGTCCATGGCTTCGTGGGGTCTGCGCCACACTCGAACCCTACCATCAGCTCTCACCAACTGAAATCGTGACTCATCTGACCAAGCCACGGTTTTCCAAACCGATATGCTCACGAGCCCACGAGAGTCGCTGCAGGCAATGTCATGCTGTCAGTAAAGGCACTCGAGTCGGTCTTCTGCTGGCATAGCCCAAGAAAGACAAATTTCGCCTCACTGTCCTATCGGACACGTCCCTCGTACGTCCCACATTGATTTCTGCGGTTATTTGACGCAGTGTTGCTTGTCTGTGAACATTGACAACTATACGCAGACGTTGCTGGTCTCGGTCGTTAAGTGCAGGTGGTCGGCCACTGCGCTGTCCATGGTGGGATGCTATGCCTGAAATTAGATACTCTCTGCACACTCTTGACACTGTGGATCTCGGAATGTTGAATTCCCTAACGATATCCGAAATGGAATGACCCATGCGTCTAGCTCCAATTACCATTCCGCGTTCAAAGTCCGTTAATTCTCGTCGTGCGGCCATAATCACGTCAAAGCCTCTTCACATGAATAACTTGAACACAAATGAAAGCCCTGCCAAAGCACTTCGTATTTATATATTTTCTACGCGATACTACTGCCATCTGTATATTTGCATATTGACTGTATATTTGCAGATCTAAAGTCTTATATCATCTGTATATTTGCATAATCCCATGACTTTTGTCAATTCAGTGTATGCTGTTGCATCGTTCTGTTCTCTGCGTGGTCATTGTCTAAAAAATTCGATATGCTACGAAAGGTTATGAGGTCCTTATCGCACTCATAAGAGATATGTAAACGAGGATATGTGTTCTCAGAATTAATCATCGAGAAATAAAATTATAAACTACGCCAATTGTCTGCAAGTATTTTGTTTTCCGTTATGCCATCTGATGTATCTTCGCTATCTTCAAATCCTCAAGTTATCTACACCGAATTATCACAATTACTACATCCTATTGACTATATTAATTATAATAATAGTTCTGTAGATATCTTGATGATTCTGTACGATGCATAGCTAGAATAATAGAGATGCGTAGATACTGAGATGCATAACGAAGAAAAATTTTGCAGGCACTGGCTGTAAAATTTATTATATATTTAATAACTGTAAATATTATTTTATTTCTTGATGACTAAATTTTAAGCACAAATATTCTGGTTTATATATCACTTCGGGTGCGATATGCATCCCGCAACGTTTCGTAGCGTATCACATGTTTTTCAGACTTTGGATGATACAGAGAATGGACAGATGCAATCGCACATGTTAGCTAGAGATGTAGCCAAATTAAAATGCGGAATTAAAAGGACTATTGCTAAATTAAAGTTAGCAACTTTCTTTCATGATTTATAACTTATACAGGGGGCGGAAGGGAAACTTCCTTATTTGAAACGCACGCCATCTAGCGACATTTATTCCGAGAAGGGTAGGGTGGCGCTCATTGAAAAAGGGTTGGTTGGTTTGTCCATATTCTGGCGCAAAACCTAAGAGGTTATACGCGCCGAACCACATGTCAGACTCTTAACACAGTCTCATTGAAAAGAGCGGTATCTAAAGTTTTATGTCATGTAGGTTTAGTACCGGTCATGCAGTAGACGAGAGAGGAGGGAGCGTTCTCCGTGGAGTCGTACTTTTCAACGTACTGCATTTTCATCCATATAAATTAGCAGTGGTGCAAAAACTTAATCCCCGCGATTTTCTTTCACGAAACAATGTATGCAAAGTCGTTATTGACAATACGCCTCGTGATGCCCTTGTGTTCTTTAGCGATAAGGATCAGTTTCATCTTTCCGGCTGCAGCATGCATTAAGCAAAACATGCGATAATGGAGTGGCATGAATCCCCGAGAATTTCATGAGCAGTCCCTCCATACAGAACGTGTGACTGTTTGGTGCGCATTTTCTAGAATAGGAATCATTAGACCATGATTTTTTGGAGAACATTTCCCTGGACGCCTTATCTCCTTACAAGGCGATTGTCAGTGGCCAGCGCGCTCTCCTGATTTAGCCCCATGTTTTTTTTCGGGGGGGGGCACTATCTGAAAGCTCTAACCTCCAAAGACCCTGCCTCAACTGAAGAACAATATTAAAGCTGCTATCGACAACATACCCGTTGATATGCTAGTAAAAGTAGAAAGAAACTTCAAAACTCGACTATCTCAATGCATTGACCAGAAAGGAGGCCACCTTAATGATACTATTTTTAAACCGTAATAAAAAAAACTTTAAGTGTTCTCTCTATAACTTGGAAAAAAATAAACTGATATCGCTTATACTATTTGTTTTATTCATTTTTAAAATAAAGTAGTTTCCCTTCCGCACCCTGTGTGTGTATGTATATATATATATATATATGAGTGTGTGTGCATTATACAGTCCAAAATTTTATACGTATTCATGTATTTGTATATGAATTACAGCGGTTTGTTTGATCGGTATTCATAATATTATTGTAGTTTCCTTATCTTCAAATTGTTATATTATAAATATAACCATATTTCCTATCATTACTGTATTATGAATTAAATAATACTGAGGTCTTTTGCAGTATTAGTAATGAATTTTTTTTCACAATCCATCAGTGGCAGATAGGATTTTATTATAATAATGCCCTTTGAATCATATTAATACTCACTATAACAGAGATAATGAGCATTGCTCTTTTCAGTGAACTGCAAAGAGCAATGCTCATTATCTCTGTTATAGTGAGGATCAAGCTTATAATATTATCAGCGTTCCTTTACATTTGTTTTTAGCAATAGATATTATGTTCGTTATATTGCTGATATTCCTTTGTATTATTACACGGAAAGATTATAAGCAGTGAGAATTGAAAGTTCTTTCAATACTAGTATTAGAGTATTATTACTATTATTATTATTGTTTTTGTTACTTTCCCATTTCAGAGAGCAAATCAAAGACGCAATCGAAAGAAATAGGCATCCTTTAGATCATTTCTTGGTGGACATAAGCGCCTCATCCAACCTAGTCGACGACAGCCTCAATAAAGTGCTTGAGAATTCAGCACCACTTCAATCTACTGCCGTTTCTTACTCTTTCGAGGGTAAAGTCATTGCTCCAACACAGAACGAGGCCAGCAATTCTACTGGTTGCTCCTCTAATGTGTATTATGCCAAGCCACTCAGAGCTATCAACACTGCAGGGCAATGGAAAATTATTGTGAACGTTGAATTTGAAGAAACGGGAGCCAACTATACCCAGACAGTTCGCATTGAAGAGTGCGAGTAAGTTGATTCAAATCATATTTCTTTAATTTTTCTTTTCGAGAGCTTCTATATTTCAGCAGGATTAGAAATTTTGACGAGACTGAAATCGAACATACCATATACTGTTATCTCAAACTTTTCTGTTATATTTCTATTTTCTTATTGTCTATTTCCTTTAATATTTTATTTTCATCTTGTGTGGCTCGCAGAAAACGAGATTTTTTTGTATATTTTATATTAAGTTTACCTTTATTTGTCCTCTTAATTCCTCTACAAAGCATTTTACTTCACATTTTACATTAAGATAATAATAAATTATGAAATACCATATCGTTGTAAGAACAGAAGCAAAATTTGTTACTATGATAGCAATGGACTTAATTTTTTATATGGTAATAATTTGCTGACCTACTCAATATATATTGTAGCTATTATGAAGAAATTAATACATTTTCATAGTCCTCAGTGTAATCAATCCATCAATTAACTAGCGAAGATTAATTCCCTTTTTTCATTACTCTGATACTACATGTTCCAGACTGGCTGCAAATGGTTGGCTGATTCTTATCCTTTAAAGATCCGTGAACTTGATTTCTCAAGTTGAAATGTCATTACAAAACATCAACATGATTCAATACACTACTTCAGTTCTTCCTCCCACAGCACTTTCACAAAACTTGAGAAATGCAGTCTCACATAAAATTCCTTCTTTATAAGAGAAGTACGATATAATATTGTTACGAAATGTACAGGCGCGGTAAGATAGCTTCCTCGCAAATCAGTTTTAGGGTTGCCATAAAATTGAAAGGGAAGACAAAGTTGCCACATTTGGCGAGAAATCGCCCATTTGGCGACAAAATTGGCGATATACCATGGAGAACCTTCTGGAACGAATTCTTACCGGTTTAGCCCAAAATGTTCTCGAACACAAGCCGAAAGCTATTTAAACTCTGCTGGTCCGCAGTCAGTGTGAGTGTACTCCGTCTAGAGGGCGAGATCGTTAGTATCGAGTGTGTGTGCCTCGTAGAGTGTCTCATCTAGTTAGTCCGTGCGGAGACGATCGAGTTGTCAGCCGGCCAGTGAGTGCCGAGTGGGTCGTCGAGTGCTCCGAAGGAGTCTCTTAGTGTATCGCGGTTAGTGCATCTTCGAGAGAGCGTGTTGAGCTCCGGGAACGACTGAACCGAAGAGTCGGGAGCTGTGCTCGTGTATCATCAAGTGCATCGCGAGTTATAGCGTAGAGAGTCTCGAGAGTACGTGGAGTTCTGAGAACGACCAAGCAGAGTCGCGAGCTGTACTCTAGTGCTTTGCCGTGAAGCCGTCTCCACCGTGATAGCCTGATAACCTGGAGGCTGCGTGGCTGATCGTTTTATAGTAGTTCACCGACGAGTGTAAAACGTGTTTTGGAGCTGTCCTGACAATACTGGCTAAATAAAGTTTGTTTCAATACTTCATCCAGTGTTATTCACTCCAAATCTACGAACCCCGTACGAACATGAACGAAGAAAAAAACGCAACAACTGGTATCAGAAGTGGGATTTGCGAGTGAATGCCAGGGACTCGCCTGCAGAGGATAGCCATGGCGGAGGAAATGAAGACTTTGATGGACTTCATAGCCGAGATCAGAGCCGGACAGAAGGAGTTGAAAGCCGGATATGATGAAATAGAAGCCGGATATGATGAGATAAAAGCCGGATATGATGAGATAAAAGCTGGGTATAAAGAGATGACAGCTGAGATCAAAGCCGGACTAGAAGGGGAGAAAGCCCGACGAAAAGAGATAAATGGCGGCCAAGAAAATGTGCGAGAGCAACTCCAATAGCTGAAAGTGGAGCTTACAGAAGAAACTGGAGCCATAAAAGACGATGTGGAAATGAGAGAATTGGCATCTGAAAAATCAAAGGATGAAGAAATGAAGGAAGTAGCTAATGAAGTACCTGAGAAAGATCAAGACATGATGGATGAAACATCTAATGGGATTAAAGGAAAACAACGAAAACATGAAGAAATAAAAGACGGGAAAGCAGCTTTTGATTCACAAGTGCTTGAAGTGGAAGTGGAAGAAAGTGAAAATGCGACTGTTAAGTTCGTCGAAACTGATAGTGAAATTACGAAGTCGCAGTAAGCAAGAATTGAACTATCTGAAAATGCATGTGATGCAGAGATGGAAGAAGCTTACGCAGAGTGCACCAATATTGCAAGAATATTCTACCATTTCACAAACTGAGTATGTGTCTCCTAATACAAGTTGTACAGACACGAACTTGATTTAAGCGAGGATACTTCTGTTTGTGAAGAATCGGATTCCGTTCATGACCCTGGTGCAAACATCGGAACTGGCTTTCAAGAAATAGAGGAAAATAAGCATGTATCAATTGCTAAAAATACCGAGATGAACTGTATGCCTGTTGAGAATGAAGTACAAAGTGGTGAACAAATTGTTTCACATATTCCTGTGGATGAAAAGTCTGAAAGGACTATATCTTCAGATTGTGATATGCAAAACAGAAACACATCTGAGAACTGCAGTGGAAAAATATTTGACCCGTGTATATTTTAATGAAAAGACTGAGACTGAAATTCATTCTGAACTTTAATTTGTATATAATTAAAATTGTGATGTGTTTAATTTGTGTATATAACTTGTACATAGTGTAAATCTCTGTTTCTTTAGTTATGTTATTTATTTATACCTTATGTTTGTTTCATTACGTTTTGTTTGTATCGAATTAGGTTTCTGACCAAAGGTTGTACTGCCCGGGACATGCAGTCCTTGGGAGGGGCCAGTGTTACGAAATGTACAGGCGCGATAAGATAGCTTCCTCGCAAAGCACTTTTAGGGTTGCCATAAAATTGCAAGGGAAGGCAGGGTTACCACATTGGGCGAGAAATCGCCCGTTTGGTGACATTTGGCGACAAAATTGGCGGTATACCATGGACGGATGGAGAACCTTCTGGAACGAATTCTTACCTGTTTAGCCCAGAATGTTCTCGAACACAACCCGAAAGCTATTTAAACCCTGCTGGTCCGCAGTCAGTGTAAGTGTGCCTCGTCTAGAAGACGAGATAGTTAGTATCGAGTGTGTGTGCCTCGTAGAGTGTCTCATCTAGTTAGTCCGTGAGGAGACGATCGAGTTGCCGAGTGGGTCGTCGAGTGCTCCGAAGGAGTCTCTTAGTGTATCGCGGTTAGTGCATCTTCGAGAGAGCGTGTTGAGCTCCGGGAACGACTGAACCAAAGAGTCGGGAGCTGTGCTCGTGTATCATCAAGTACATCGCGAGTTATAGCGTGGAGAGTCTCGAGAGTACGTGGAGTTCCGAGAACGACCAAGCAGAGTCGCGAGCTGTACTCTAGTGCTTTGAGGTGAAGCCGTCTCCACCGTGATAGCCTGATAACCTGGAGGCTACGTGGCTGATCGTTTTATAGTAGTTCACCGACGAGTGTAAAACGTGTTTTGGAGCTGTCCTGACAATACTGGCTAAATAAAGTGTGTTTCGATACTTCATCCAGTGTCATCGTTATTGACTCCAAATCTACGAACCCCGTACGAACGTGAAGGAAGAAAAAAATGCAACAACTTGAGAAATGCAGTGTCACATAAAATTCCTTCTTTAGAAGAGAAGTAAAATATAATATTCATTGCATACTAAACTTAGCTGGTAAGTGCGAACATACTCAACGGCGTTCTGCTGAGTTGAGAAACAAAGAATTGAGAAATTAGTATGCTTTAAGAAATTTATCTTTAGAGATAATGTAAAGATTTAAGAGCTTCTCAGATAAGAATAAGCTACTAGAAACAAAACATGATAAAGTGCTCTTGATCTTGTCGCATTGCGATGCATACCTCTTCAGTTATACTGTAATACGGAGACCATGATTTCTAGTAATGTAGTGTTAAAATATTAATCAGATTATGCATCGATTCCAACAACTGATGCAGTAATCAACAGAGAGTTATTAACCTAATTTCATAGTTATTGATTTAATGTAATGGATCTAAATACTTATTTCATCGAAACACCAAATTTTATGTTAACTTCAATGGTATAACTAACATGTTTGACCAATGGCTGTGAATAAATAATGAATGCTACGTATCTACTAACCTCATATGTCGAAATTTGTTTCTATTCTGGGTTTCTTTATGGGTTTTTTAGTGCTGTCTGCTTTTGACAGGAAACTGGTGCTGCATATTCACTATTAGACTGCGACCTTGCTCCTTGCTGACTGATTGTCCGATGAGTCTTTATGAACCAACTGATTTCTGTTTCTGAGACCTTTCTCTGCCTTCTAAAACTTTATGTACTAAACATAATTTGACCATTTTTGTTCAAATGTCTGATCACTCTGATTAAGTTTCATCGGTTGTAGCATAGAAGTTGCATAATTTATGCAACTGCGGTGTACTTGGGTTTATGCTGCGGTGTACTTGGGGTAATTTATGCAACTGCGGTGTACTGCGGTTGCATAATTTATGCAACTGCTTCTTGGGCAGAGTGATAAAGTCTCAAGACTAATTAATATTTTGATAGTGTCTTTTGAATACTTGTATACTCTAAACTGCAGCTTTCCACAAAATAGAATTTACCAAATTAAAGAACAGAAAAGACATTATTAAAATCTGTTCCGGCCTATCCATAGACAGTGCTCCTCGTAACGTTAGTCACGATTTTCCTAAGGGCCGAGCTTGATTTATTTTTTGAATCTGGCAACACAAAATTGTAAGAAAAATATGTATATGTTTAAAACAGTTGCATGTATAATAATAAAAATAAAATGTGCATATAAAAGCAATATCTGATGTCTGTGTTATTTGCATATTTTTATTGTTCAACATCTTTTCCAGGCAAAACTCTGGTTACGTAGCTACTTGTGGAACGGAAACCATATCCGCCTGTCTACAACAGTACAAACTCTACAGATTGCTGGCCTGGGAAGCCCACAGAGGGTTTTACATTGATGCCTTCCTGCTACCCATTTCTTGCTTCTGCGGTAGCCAACAGAACAGAAGAAGATAGTAGCGGTTAAATAACTATGTGATTACGTGTAACATACCTAGTAAATGCAGGTGATTTCAGAAACGAGGGCAATTTTAACTTCCTGAATGATTTTGCGTAGATCTCAATAACAAAACACACAAAGAATCAGGTTCAAAGTCACGTGTATTAAATATCATTTAGGAACTTCCTAAAACATTTTATGAATAATTTTTGTATATATTTTGAGAGCAGATGTAATAAGCTATTAGAATGTGGTGCCAAAATCTTTAAAAACTCAGGTATCACTCAACATCAAGTTAACTGACAATTGCTTAAATCAGTATCGATAACCGTTTTTAAACATCACCTAAAGCATTTTTTTAATAAATTAACAGTGAAAAATGAAGCAAAAGATTTACATAACTGGGTGGAATTATTTTTTAAAATGATGTGTTGAACGCAGTCACATATTGTATTTATTTAATTTTTTTTATAATAACATCCGTTGGTTGATATGAAAAAAATACCAACTAAATATATGACTTTATAGTAATTACACTTCCACACCAAACACTGTTAGTTTAGTATTTATCTGTTTAACTTTTGAATTACACGTTAGAGAGCTGAGTGTGTTTTGCTATTTTGTGATTTGCAAAATCACCATAAATAATATAATTCCGACTCGATATGCAGTCTTTAGTTGTATAGGTAAAACGTGTTATATTTACTCTGGTAAAACGTTCATTGTGATTATAGAATACAATGGTTGGTTTCATTGTTTGTTAAACAAGTGTGTCCTATTTGCACACCACTTAACAATCACCGTCTCTACTTAGATCATCTTATATGTATTCACAAGTGAGCTGGTTACTCAACCAAATTCAGTGTTAAAGTTTTAGCATCTTTCATTTGGAACTTTTAATATATTTATTCATAAAATTTCATCCGATTTTTGTTGATGTTTCCAGAAGTGTAGCGAAGAAAGGAATGGTACTGGAATTGCTTTATTATTACTTTGAATAGAAAATACGACGCTTCAAAAAATACTTTTTTAATTTTATTCCGCATTGTTAAATTATAGGTGGAATAAACTTCATATCGATACATACATGGAATGCATTGCCAAAATACAAAAGAAACTAAAAAACAGCTGAGGCTAATCTCAGATTCCGTAATTGCCCAGAAAAGTTCAGCATAATTACTTTGTTAAAAAAGATGAAAGTACAATTATATTTATTTTCTCTTGCATAACATTTTTGTTTCCTCTATGCAAAAAAGGCCTAAAGATTCATATAATGCAGAATTCATTGCAATAGATGGTCACAAATACATGAATCTTTGGCTACATGAAGCCATATCGCATTAAAGGGTTTAATAAACTTTTGAGTAGTTTGATACCTTCTAAATATTTTAAAAAAATGAAACAAAAAATTTAGAACAAAATTTTAAAATAAAACAAACTAATAACATTAGTTGAGCGCGGACTAATTAAATACTGTTGCAATCAAATAAAGCAAATAAAAACTATTTCATAATGAAACAAAAATTCCTTTTTGAGAAATACAATTTTTTTTTAAATTATTAATGTAAATTAAGAACATTACATAGAAAATTTGAATTCTTCTTTTACATTAACTCACAAATGAAATTTAAATATTCCAATAAACACAAATAATTATGTAATTTTCTTTTTTAATTACAATCAGCTCTTTTCAGTTTAGCGCTAAAAAGAATACTTTCTTTTAAATAAATGTATATGTATTGCATACGTTTTTATGAAATGTTTTGCTGACTTGAAAGGAGGTAATTTTAGCATCAAAATAAAAAAAAAAAGAAATGTTTACAAAGGGGTAATTGCTATTAAAGTAAGTGCAAGTGATATTTTTTTTTTTTTTAATTTTCATATGATAAATAAACAAACTCTTTAACAAACTAACGGCCAAAATTTTCAGCTGTATATAGAATGTTTTCTTTCAAGAAAAATGTTAACTTGTTTATATTGTAGTTTGTATATTTGCTGTAGCAGAGCTATGGAAATAAAATATGTGAATTTATATTCTCGTATAATTTCTTTCAATTAGATTTCACACTTAGCTTTATTACAGAAACTAAGAGACACACTTTTTTACTTCCTTGTACGAAGTAAAAAGGAAGTAATTTAATCGCAAAAAGTTTCAGGCAGCATATTTCAACGAAAATATCCATTTTGACCGCTATCGAATGTAATTTAACGATGTTTTTGTGTTATATCTGTACGTCAGAACAGAATAAAAGATTCGTTTCCTCCAAAAAAATTATAAAACTGATTTAAAATGAGTGGTGTCTATACGTTACTACGTACGTATGTATCTCGCATAACTCAAAAACGAGTAGCCTCAGAACGTTTAAATTTTGTATATAGGACTGCTGTAACATGTAGATGTTCACCTCGTATTTTGGTTGCCATCAGGCGCACCAAACGTATATAAAATCCACTCTGTTACCCGGCTCAATGATCTCAGTTTCTTTACTCTTATATGTTTGTAAAGTGTGCATTTTGTGCTTTAAAAATGATTGAATTATGTTGTTCTTATCTTCCTGTTAAGATTTTTATGCCTTTAAGAAATCTGCAAGCAATATTTGTAGAATTATCAACAATTTAAAAGCTGTTTAAGTGAGGTTAAGCCTCATTTTTAAATAAAATGGCGGATATGCTTGTTTACATTTGAAACAGCAGAATAGTAGATTTGTTGCCAATATAGGGAGACTAAACTTCGCTACAACAAAGATAACGCCTTCATTTATTATTGCAAATTAAATCATGCTTAATCTTTTCTGGAATTTTTCGAGGACATAAGTGTTTAAGATTTACTTCAAAATTTTTAATATAGATATTTTGAGTTTTTATGTAATTTGCCTTGTCGCGAAGTGAGAACTGAATTGATTGAATGAGAAATACTAAATCGTCTGTAAAAAACTGTTTCTTTTTTGTTTTGTTTGCTTAATTTCTATTAAACATAGTTCTAGATTTATTATAGTGTTTGAATAGAACATGAGGCAACGATTAGATAAGTCTTCAAATGATATAAATTTTGTGCATTGAGTTATAATATCAGCAACAATTTCCCACCTGGACTAATCCTTCTAATTTCTATTTTTTTGGCAAACAGAACTTTTCAAGTTCGTATTAAGAACGAACTCTCAAATATCAGTTTTATGAATGTAGGTGACCCTCAGGGATCCAATCTTTCGGCCTTTCTCTTTAATATGTATATAAACGATCTCCCTAGCCACAAAGATGCCATTATCGCCTGCTATGCAGACGACACTGCCATTCTCAGCAAATCCATCAACTCTCACAGAGCTGTTCAAAACTTACAAAATGCAATAGATTATATTTTCCCATGGTTCAGTGAATGGAAAATTAAAATTACGAAGCAAATCAACTACAATTTATTTTCAAAAGAACCCTAGAAGACATCTCAATAGTATTATCATCAATAACATCTCTATTCCCAATGAAAAATGCATCACGTATTTAGGAGTTTATCTCGACCAAAAACATCACGTTGAAAATACATGCAAAAAAGCTAATCAACCAATAGGAAGTATTTATGCGCTCATAGGAAAAAATTCTAAACTTAGTCTAGAAACAAAAAGAGTAATTTATCTTCAGGCAATACATTCCCATTCTTCTTTATGCATCTCCAGCTTGGGCTGCTACTGCGAGATCTCACCGCCCAAAAATTCGAAACAAGGCAATTCGAATAATTACAAATGCACCCTGGTTTGTGCGGAATAGCACCTTACACAACGACTTGAAAATCAAACCAACAGATGCAGAAATTTTAAAATTATCTCATAACTTCTTTACGAAGTGCGACAATCATCCTGAAAATATGATTTAAAAACTCGGAAATTATGATTACACAGTAGAACAACGCTACAAAAGACTCCGTACTATTCACCACAATAGTCGGTGGTAATTGTAGATATATTTTTGTTCCTTACTTATTTAGATAAGTTTTATTTTATTATTATTATTACTTTTCATCTTACTGAATTACTTTACAAAACGCTATGGACTTTAACCCTGCCAAAGTAGGTGTACACTTTGATATGTATATAGTTTTATTCTTGTGAACCGTTTTCTACTGTGACAAACTATGCTATTTCATCATATAATCATCTGCCAATAATTGCTTATCTAAAGATTAGAATGAAATGTTTTTCAAAAATGCCTCATAATGCAACCTACAAGAGATGACGCAACCGGAGCAAGCATACTAAAGAAGCTTTCCATTTTCAAAAATAGAGGGAGCCACATGAGCACCTTCGTATCTTCAAAGTTTACTTATCTCAATAGATGGCGGCACTGGAGCCTCCATTAAAAATCTCTGAATTCTAGCACAGTATGTGTACAAGCACTTTCCATTCTAGTGAATTCAACTCCCTTGATCCTGAAGTTTTAGAAAAGTCAAGAATAATATATTGGTAAAGGCCGCAATAGGCCGATTGCCTCTTACCCGAAGTTAAGACATAAGTTATAATATGAACGAAATATAACTCTATTAAGTGAAACTAGGGCCAGAGTGTCGCTATCGTAAACAAATATAGTGAATTTTAAAGAGTGCATTTATGCTATTGTGGTTTGTGCGCTATCGACGAAGTAGATTTAATTCAGTCCAATAAATTTAAATGAAATGCAACAAAAAATGCGTATAATTTAATATTCCGTACAAGGAAGTCATGTGGTGTGCACATCAGATTTTTTCTTTTCATTTTACTAACATTATGGCTTTCAGTAACGTTATTGATTTATTACTACAGTAGATGCTGTTTAATGTGATTACGGTAAAACTTGCAGAGTTTCCACTGCGGGAAAAAACCTAGCGCTAGCCCTGAAAAAAAAATTAATAAAACAACAATAATAATAATAATAATAATTAAAATACATAAAAAAAATTCTGAAAGCTTTCAAATTTTACATTACTCCCAAAAAAGCGCGCTTCTTTTTTTTTTTTTTTTTTTTTCCCACACACATAAACTTTTTGAGAGCATTTGGGCTAAAAATATTTAAAAACGGCGTATCTTAAGAATTTCCGATTGAAAGTCTCGACGGTGATGGAGATATCAGATTTTTTTCCTTTTTTTAATATTAAAAAAAATGGCAAGAACGTCAAATAGGTTTTGAAAAAAGCAAATGAATAAATAAAATAAAATAAAAGCAATCCATTCCACAGCACTCAGCTGCTAAAGTTAGCTTATTCGTGCTAATTATTGCGTTGAATTTCTCTATCTGTTTAGTTAATAGGTATTCAAATGTGTAGTACGAAGGTCCTTTGTACTACGCGCAAGTACGAAATACAGTTTTTTCGAGTAATTCTGTCAAAAGAGATCACTCGACCGATGTTGTCCCAACAGCTTTGCAGATTACGTAGATATCTTTATCAAGGGAACAAGCGCAGTAGCCTGGTCTCTGTCTATCGAAATAGCATTTGGCAATGTACAGATAGCTTTACAAAATTTCGTTTACTAGAATAACTTAAATGTCTACCACAGAGTTCTTTTCAATTCAGAATTCACAACGGTCTCTTCGCTAATGTTCACATCCTCAGAAGGTTCTATTTAAGGACCATGTTATTGAACATACTCGTAGATGACATCTCGCATTCATCAGGCTCTAAACTGGCAAAATATGTCGATAGCACTTGGGTAGTACAAAAATGTCCTGGGGATTATCCTGAAAATCTTGCTCAGGAGATAAATACATATACTTGGGACATTCACGAATATCTCCTTAACCTGCTAAACATATTTTCCTTGGTGTTTAATGGCACATTCCAGTACATCCTTAGGAAACCTTCTCTAGGTTCCATCGATAGAGTGTGGAATGTTATTAGGATTTGAAGTCCTACTTACTACATCTTCAGGACATCCCTGAATATCTCCCAACTTCCTAAACACATCTTCCTGAGTGCCTAAGGTCGCATTCCAACATACCCTTAGGACATCCTCGCTAAGTCCCATCGACATAGTACTGAATGTTATGTGACTTAAACGGGACATCCTGAGAATATTCCGCGATAGGTTTTGAATACGTATTTATCTACAGCTTAGAGTTAATAAATACATTTTCAAAATGTAGTACATAATATCCTCAGGATATAGGCAGTTAACCGGTGCACGCATTTCTACATATCTGCTTACTGTTTTGTACTTATCATTAATTTGGATCACAACTTCTGAGACTTAGGTAGTAGAGAAAAGGCCAATATATTTCAAAACAAAGGCTATACTCAGAAAAACGAAAGCGCCGTTCTACTTTAAAAATGTAGCACTGCCTAAAGACTTTCAAGATGACAAGGGGAAATCACTTTCTGTTTAATAGTGAACAAATTTTACTCTGATAATAGTAACTCAAGTCATTTCTCATAAATGATGAAATGAACACTTTTCTAAACGACTGTTCTTCTATTCAATTTTTATAGTTTTACTCGATAATTTCTTCCTCCATTGCCACTTTTAGTTCCACAAAATACTAGATAGAAATACATTTTTGTCTTAAAGGATGTGTTCTTCCCCTTTCCTAGATATACTATTATACCCAAAATATTTCTAGAATGATTCCTTTAAAGCACGTATGATCAAGTATATCCCAAAAAGAAGAGTTTTCAGAAATTTCAAACTACTTTCTACAAATTTAATTGATCTCAATGAAATTTGCAGAAAGAATGGCAAGAATTTGTATTCCGTTTCCTTTTCTCTTTTGCAAATAAATCAGTTTTTAATAAGAGGGATATTTTTTCTTTGGAGATTACCAAAATGGAGAATGCAATTGTGCAAAAAAAAAAAAACATTCATTTATGTTTTTCTTAACAATCAATTTCATCAACAGAACATGAGAAATATTAAAAAAATCCTTTGAAGGAAATACTTTTTCAAAAATAAAAGTTTTGGAACTGTGTAAGATTTTGAAGGAAGGCAGAGAGTATGTCAAAGATAAACCACGCTCAGGCAGATCATCTATTTCAGATCATGAGCAAATACATCGATCAAGTCAGAGATTTGGTTC